TATCATTTATTATTATTCATTGAAGTGTTAGTCTCTCTTAGTACTTAATTTGCTTGTATTATTTATCAAGAGAGGAATTTTATTGTAAAATCACTTTGATAAAGTGTGGGTCATGTTGAAATCCCTTAAAAATCAACATTGTATAAGGATCAGTGCTCCTTGTTGTAAGTCACCTTGTGGGTCATATTGAGGTCCCATAAGTCACCAGAAGTTTTGTAAAGGGTTGGATTATACCATAAGGCAATCAACATAGTGAAAAGTCCTTACTCGTGTTGGAGAGCTTGGTAACGGGGGACGTAGATCATTGTTTTGGATCGAACCTCCACAAATATATCGTTTGCATCATCTCTCCCTTTTACTTATCGCTTTTATATTTGTGTTTACTACTTGAATTACTCTATTTAGTCTTTACTTGCTTGAATTCAGATTAATTTTTCGAAAAAGTTTTAAAAACCAATTCACTTCCCTCTTGGTTAGTTATTTTTGGGCTATCAATTGGTATCAGAGCTAGGTGCTCAATTTTAAAGTCTTCACAATCTTGAGTAATGGCTAACCACATTTTTCAAAATCTTGAGGGGTATTCTACAAATCGTCCTCATTTATTTGATGGTACTCATTATAACTATTGGAAGACTAGGATGATAATATTTATTCAATCAATATATTATAATNACTAGGATGACGATATTTATTCAATCAATATATTATAATATTTGGGAAGTTATTGAATTTGGTCCATATGTGCCTAAAAAGGTTATTAAAGAGGATGGTAAATCGAATCAAATAATTTCTAAATCTAAAGAGGAATATAAGGAAGATGATAAAAGAAATTTATCTTTAAATGCTAGAGCAAAAATCTACTCTATTGTGCTTTAGATAGAAATGAATTTGATCGTATTAGTACATGTGATTCCGCTTATGATATTTGGCATGCTTTGGAAATTACTCAATTTAGAACTAGCAAAGTGAAAGAAACTAAGATAAATCTCTTAGTTAAATATTTTGAAAATTTCTTCATGAAAGAGAATGAACCTATTGTTGACATGATTACTCGCTTCACTGATATTGTTAATGGTCTCAAAAGCTTTGACCTTAAATTTACTAGTGGTGAGCTTGTAGGTAAAATGCTTAGATCACTCTCAGAAGAATGGAGCCCATTGAGAATTTTGATAGAAAACACCGAAGATATCAGCACATATCCATTGGAAGAGCTCTATGGAACATTGATGACATATGAGCTAAATCGCACGGAGACAAATGAGAAAACAATGAAAAGTAAAGAAGAGGAAATGCGCCAAATTGTTTTTAAATCCGTAGTTGATGAAGGCACTTCAAGCAAAAATATGAATGATGAAGAACTTGATCTAGTTCTTCTTGTTAAGATATGAAAATGTTTTCGCAAAAATCATCGATTCCAAAAGAAAGAAGAAAATGGCGAAAAGAAGAATAGATCCATCGAAAAGAAAGCCCTTCAATCAATATGG